ATCAGAAGTTGTTCGGATGTTCATTGTATTTTGTGATTTAGGGAGAACAAGAAGGCCAAGGGGTCGTTTCCTCTCCTACCTTTGTCTCATCATCTTGCCTTTAGGCCACATTTCGTAGTAGTAAACGTTAGTGCAGTGTATTTTATATTTAATCACTTCATTAGTATGTGTTTATACTGTATTTATATGGCAGTAATACATAAAATTAATAATACATTAAAAAATACATAACAAATAAAAGTTAGACATAAAATTATCTTTTTGTGCTATTGCTGGGATATGAAACTCAAGTACGTTTTACAGATGAAGACCTGCCAAGCCAAGAGAACATGATTTGGAAGAAAAAATTGTACTGTAACTGACACGTTTTCTTATAAGTTACCAAAACTTGATTAAGTCTCTTTCCTTCCTTAGAGGTCCCAGTGTGCTTTCCCCTGTGGAAGTCTGTAGCCAACGTGAAACTACAGCTAATGAGCTGGGGCCTTTCCTTCTGTTTGGAATTCAGTTCTGAAACTATTTAGCTCAAGTTTTTTCATATGAAAACCACATCAAATTTAACACAGTCTAACAATTGATGATTAAACCTTCTCTAATTAGCAGAAGGTTTGTAACTCATTAAATTTAATTATAACTGATTAAATTTCTGAGTTATAAAGGAGTACAATTTATCGTTAAGTAAGTCAAAGGCGCCTTATCTATCCTAGGTGAGTTATGTCATGATGCAGATGTTTCCTGCTTCGTCCAGAATATTCAAAGGAGAATATTTTTGATGCAAAAATGCTGAGTCCCCATGTTAAATTTAGCCTGTCTTTGTCCCCACTGAGTGAATGTGCAATTAACCCTGAACAACACGGTTTGAATTGTGCGGGTCCACTTACACACGGGTTTTTTTCAACAAGTGCTGTTTAGTAGTGTACATGTATTTTCTCTTCCTTATGATTTTCTTAATAAGGTTTTCTTTTCTCTAGCTTACTTTATTGTAAATACAGTTTATAATACATATAACATACGAAATATGTGTTAATTGACTGTTTATGTTATGTCATTAAGACTTCAGGTCAACAGTAGGCTGTTAGTACTTACGTTCTGGGGAAGTCAGAAGTTATAACACAGATT